TTACATCCCCCCCCAAAAAAACTGAAAGGTACAGTGGAAGGCCAACAGTCTGCACTCTAACTGGCATCTCTCCCACAAGGGAGACCCGCACCACTCTTGGAGGCCCTGCAGTATCAGGTGGATTTGTGGAATGGATGGAGCAAGTCTCTTTTTAACCTCCCTGTGCAAAAATTCCACTTGATAAATAGGATCCTCAGGTAGATCATTTGTTAGATGTTAAATGGTTAGAACAGATATCATTCCTGAGCTTGGGCCCAAAACCAAAGAAACAACTTACAGTTAAGATTCCTACCCTGGCCCTGGCTAGGGAGGCTCAGCGGATTGAGCATCCGCCTGTGAACCGAAAAGTCACCGGTTCAATTCCAGGTCAGGGCACATGCCTGGGTTGCGGGCCAGGTTTCCAGCTGGGGGCGAGCTGGGGACATGGGAGAGACAATTGGCAACTGATCCGTGTTTCTCTCCCTCTCTTTCTCCCTCCTTTCCCCTCTCTCTAAAAATAAATAAATAAAATTCTTTTTTTTTTTTTAAGATTCCTAGCAGGCCTTGCTTCCATAAATTTTACTCAAGGCTACAAAAGCATCCTGAAAGCTGCCCCTTACACAATTCTGATTTTCAGGACTCTCCCGAGTCATTCTAATCCTTCCCTTGGAGAGTTTCCCAATGGCCTAGTCTCTTCTCAAATTGAATTGGGGCCACAGAGGCGCTGGCACATCCCTGCTCCTCTACTGATCCACGCAGTGCCTCCTGCTGCCAGGAGGGGGCAGAAGATTCCCTGAGAAAAAGGCCTGAAAGCAGTTTGCCGCCCTGCAGACAGCCATTTTCAACATTTTTCATCTCATGACAGATATAAAGTAATTACTAAAATTCTGTGACACACCCAAAAATATTTTTTTTGCCAGTCTGACAAAAGAACAGCTATAATTTGGATTTATTCACACCGGACAGCTCTTGTGTTGGCTGTTGTCATTTTTTTATTTGACAGTCTAAGGGAAAAGAGGTCAATGCCCCTGACTCTCTGAGTCCCCTGAGTCAGGGATTGTGTGTCTTATTTTTTTTATTTTTATTTTTGAAATATTTTATTTATTTATTTTTAGAGAGAGGGGAAGCGGGGGAAAGAGAGGGAGAGAAACATCGATGCACGCCTGAGAGATACGTCAACTGCCTCTCCCACGCCCCCAACTGGGGACCTGGCCCGAAACCTACGCATGTGCCCCGACTGGGAATTGAACCAGCAACCTGACACTTTTGTTCACCGGCCAGCACTCAGTCCACTGAGCCACACCAGCCAGGGCTCCTTTCTATCTTATTCAAAGAAGAAAATGTTCCACATTCACTTAAATGGATGGATAACGAAACTTGCATTTTCACCAAACTTAAATCTCTCCTTGACGTGTACAAAATGGCCCCAGGTTTGTTTTAAAAACCCTCACCACAACCTGGAACTTGACCTACAAAGCAAGAAGCACAGGCCACTCATGGCCTTCTTTGACCTGAAGCACTCCACCCCACAGGGCTCCCTCCTCCACCCCTTCAGAGGCTGCACGAGTGTCGTCCTTGTCAGAGAAGCCCTCTCGGAGTGCAATGACAACGTATTGCCTTCCGCCCCAGCAATCCCTCTCTCCCGACCTGCTTAGTTTTTATCATGGCATTTAATTCCACTTGACACATTATTTGTTTGTTTCTCTCTCCACCAGAATACACACTTCAAGAGAACATAAAGGGGCTGTCTGCTTTGTTCCCTGGTACAGCTCCTGTGCTTAGTAGGTGCTCCGCAAATAAATATTGGTAGAATAAATGTTAAATGAAAGTCACCTGTAAACTCCAACTGCCAAGAACACTGGTCTTTTTTTTTTTGGAGGGGGGGAGGGTGCTTATCCCCTTCGGCTCCTTTATTGCTTCCAAAAAGAGCATCCCGTTTTTGACATTCCTGGTCCAAATAGATTCTATGTCACTGCACGAGAGGTTGCAAACTCAGTCACGACCACCTTCGGCATATTTCGATTGTCACAGAATGTGCTGAAAATTTGAAGTCAGAAGCCAACGCTGAAAATGGACAAATAAGCCCTGGCTGGTGTGGCTCAGTGGACTGAGTGCTGACTTGCAACCCAAAAGGTCACCGGTTTGATTCCCGGTTGGGGCACATGCCTGGATTGGGAGCCAGGTCCCCGGTTGAGGGTGTGTGCGAGGCAACTGATCAATGTATTCCTCAGACATCCATGTTCCTCTCCCTCTCTTTTTCCCCTCCCCTATCTCTAAAAATAAATTTTAAAAATCTTTGTAAAATGGACAAATTAATATACAATTTTGGATTTCTGGAACCTGTTGGTCAGATTTTTTTTTACAGAGATAATATTCTAGCAAGGCGACAATCAGCTGGAGCTAAGCAAGGGCTGCCTTGGTTCTTCAGAGTTCCCCCACCCCCCCAGTTTACATCCCTCATCTGTGTTACTTCCATTTTTCTAGATAGATGAGGTGGAGGGAGGCCCCTGACTGAAGTCCTCTCCTTTCCATTCCCACTGCCTTTGTACTTGTTAGTATAGAATCCACCTACTGGGAGCCTAAACTACTGAGACAATCTGATTAAGGTCCTCGTCTCCATCTTATTCCTCAATTTCTCATCACCAGCCTGCTCAAAAACTTTCACTGGCTTTTTTCTCACTCTCTACAATTCAATTATTTTGCTTTGCATTCTGGGCCCTTCTCATCTGGCCCTCCCCAGGAAATCTTTCCCAGGTTTTTTTTTTTATATATATGTGTATATGTTTTTAAAAGATTATTTATTTATTTATTTATTTATTTATTTTTAGAGAGGGAGAGAAGTATCAATGTGTGGTTGCTTCTTGCATGCCCCCCACTGAGGTCCTGGCCCACAACCCAGGCATGTGCCCTGACTGAGAATCGAACCGGCGACCCTCTGGTTCACAAGCAGGTGCTCCATCCACTGAGTCACACCAGTCAGGGCCCAGTTTTATACTCTACTATGCCTTTCAGCTCACCTTTCATGAATTATATTCATACTCTTCCTACCTTTTCCAGCTCCAAGCCTGTGCTCAAGTAGTTTCTTTAACTGAAATTTCCCCCTTGGGTCTGTTTATCTACCCTTTAAGGCCCAACACGCCATAAAGCGTTTCCAATTCCCATGCCCAGATCCAACCTCTCTAACCCTGTCTGCCAGCTCTGGGGCTTCTGGATTTTCCATAGTTCATCAGCCCCATTTTCTATACATTTTGTTACAACTTTTCAATCATATACTTGATCAAGCACTCAATAGTTATGGAGCAAATGAATTTATTCCAATCTATAATAACTTTATTCAAACTGGAATTCTCTCAATATTATATATAGTGCCACTTAGGCTACTCAGGGGCACATGGGGACCACGCTGCCCCCAAAAGGGGTGAAAATTGGATCTTGGTAGAGGAAGGGGAGGCAGAAAAATCTCAGATTTTAAAAAGGTTTCTGGTCCTCCAATGGGCCACAGTACATGAGCAGAAAATATCATGGTGGTGGTGGGGATTAGAAAGGAAATGTATTTTTTAAAAGATTTTATTTATTTTATTTTTTACAGGAGGGGAGGGAGGGAGAGAGGGAGAGAAACATCAATGTGTAGTTGCCTCTCACACTCCCCCTAGTGGAGACCTGGTCCGCAACCCAGACATGTGCCCTGACTGGGAATTGAACCAGCGACCCTCTTTTTCACAGACCAGCGTTCAACCCACTGAGCCACACCAGCTGGGAATGGACATGTCTTTTCAGGCTCCTGTGAAGAGCTACACAATAATGAAAAAGACTGAGAACAGTACCAGGGGATCATTTCCTTTGTTCCCTGCGTATGTATTCACCTGCTCCCCGCCTGACTACCTTGAGAACAGAGTGCCACGACAGCAGTGAGGCCCGGTGGTCAAAAAGGCAGGCGCCGGAATCAGACTGCCTGGGTTTGCACTTTGGCTCTTAGATTACTCGGCTGCCTAGCATCAAGCAAGTTAACTTAACCTCTCTAGGTCTCAGGTTCCTAATCTATAACTCGACCTTTTCACCTTTCTCCTAGTACTGTATACTAAGTGAGGTCGTACAGAAGGACTCAAAGAGCTTCGTCAAGGTTTATACAACGTGCACGCACTTGAGGTTGTTTACTACAAACGACTGATGATCTAACCCTGGTAAGTCTCAGTAGCAAGTGTCTACCGGTAATCAGTCAGGAATTGTAGGCAGCCATGCAAAAGCTTTCACCTGGGGCTCCCCTCCTCTATAAAAGGAGGTTAGTCACTGCACCTACCTCTTGGGATTTGGGAGGACTAGTCAATTCATGCAATGTGCTTAAAACGGTAGGTGCTCCTAATGTTAGCAGTACTACAAGCCGAGGTCCTGGCAAAATCGGACCGAACAGCAGGGCCCTGGTGGCCAATCAGGAAAAATCGGACCCTGTCACAGACTCAAGTGGAGCACCTACGGCCTGATTCGCTTCCCCAAATGGTTCCATGCAAGCTCAGCCCGGTTCCATGCAAGCTCCGTCTGAGCTCGGCCCGGCCCGGGGCTCAGTACCTGAGGCACCTCCCGCGCTGGCACCCTGAGCATCAGGCCCGGACTGCGCGTCGGGCGGCTGACATGAAGCCGAAACGACAACGGTCGAGGGTTCAGCGGGTTCGGGATCCATGGAGGCGGACCCTGCACAGGGCTTTGGGGTGTGTGTGGGCAAGGGGAGCTCAGGGAAGGGTGTGGGAGCAGGCGGCTGTGACCCAAACACAGCATCAGTCCAGGGTCCGCGAGAAGCCGCTGCAGGCCTCAGCGATCCAAAGTCTCACAGGAGACGGGCGGTAACACGCTGCCGCAGCGCCAAAGGCGTGTTTACGCATTGACCTAAGGCGCATGCGCGCCCTTTTCGCGCCACTGGGGTCGCCCGCCCTCCGGCCTAGTCAGGGAGTTTCTACCCGTGATTCCCCGGGCTCGCATGCGTTCTTCTCTTGCGCGTGCGCCCGCCACAGTCCCGCCCTCAAATCCCGTGGGTCTCTGCGAGGTGGTATTTAAGCGCCTCGCTGTGCACTTCAGGTCTCGTTTTTCTGCTCCTCTCGGTAAGGTCTTTTGTGTGTCGCTACCCCGGGCCGCGTGCTTGTGGCGCCCTTTGGGCCGTCCTCTTTGTTGCACCTGTCTGAGGGTGGGGGACTGGGCCGGCGTGACCATGGCCTCCAGGCCTCTGGCGGCTCCAGTGCTTTGTGAAGGACAAAATGGCTGTGGCGGGCGGTGCCGGCGGCCCTCTCTGTGATGAGAACCTTTTCACAGACCTGTGCTGAAATCCGTGAGGATAAGAAACTCTGAGACTGGCCTTGCACAGCCGGTGCAGCCATTGTTTCGGAGAACAAAGCGTTTGCTAAATATTCCGGGGTTGACCTAATGTCTTGTTTGCAGGTTTCAGGCGCGCGTTTGAACGCTGAAGAGCCGGAAATAGTCCCCTTGTTGGAGTAAGTGTTCGAAGCTATCCTTTTCGACTGTTCTCCGGGGTTGAGTGTGGGGAAGTCCTAAGGGAGGTGCTACGGGGATGATAAAAAAATGAACTCTCTCTCTCTGATGGATTAGTGGAGACCTGTACATTCTGAGTAGCACCATCCGTCGCATGTGTTTGGGGTTTTTTTTTTTTAACTGTGAAGTGTTAATGGCGTTAATGAGGCTAAGCGAAAGGTGCTCTTTGTTTTTTTCAGATACGGTTCAGTTCAAAAGAGCTTACAGGTGGGAGGATGGCACAGGACCCGGCCCCATGCAGCTCGGTGATAACAGTGGGTGTGCTCCAGGTGGGTATGCAATGGTTGTGCAGTTGCGGGTAGGGGGGTGGGGTCCAGACGGCGACCAGTTGGGCTGGCCACTCCGTGATGAACACAAAATGACAAGCATATGACTGAACTTAAAAGTGATGTCATCTTACTCTACTGAGAAGTGAGCTGAGAAGACCCAAGGGTCTTTGAGTGGCTCTTCCAGGGTACCTGCAATGCCTCTTTTTTTCTGTTCCTAGCATCATCGCCTCATCAATCCTGAGGAATTCAGCTGCTTCCCAAGGTGACTGCAGGTAACTGTTCAAATGAAGGATTGGGGTGTCCTCTCTCCAGCGTTCCCCAAAGCCAGGAGAGCAACTGGTCGATGGAGCAGTGTCTCCTTCCAGCGTGTTTCTCTTGGAATGACTTTATTGGGGAGGGAGAGGACAATCCAGTAGTACAATTGGTTTTTGAGGGTGTAATTTTTTCCCTCGCTCACGTGGCACTGTCAGATGATTTGAATTGTTATGCTGATACTCTGTGAGGTGTGACAGGTAATAGCATGTTAGAGTTCTGATGGCAGTATCTGTTACATGAAGAAATCGCAACCCATTCTTAACATTTTTAAAGTAATTACTTGCTTCTTGTTTACAGGTTGTCCTGATGATATATATTCACCTATCTTAATGGTAAGTAGCTTCTCCCAATACTGAAGTAAATTAACATATGTGAACCCAGTCATTATCCAAAGGATAACTTAGCAACATGGGGTGTGTGTGTTACCAGAGCCCTGATTGGCCCATATAGCGTTCTGGTTTCTCTTGTTCTCACAGTGATTTTCATTGCTTTTTTTGCCTCCCCTAGATGCCCACTGATCTGTCCAGGGTTGAACTCTTGGGAAGAGTTGGAAGCGGTGAGTGTCTTGTAACTTGGTTGTGGTTTGCTCTGAGTCCAGTGCCAGTGAGGAGAGCAAGCATCCTGTCTTACCCCAGTCTAGCCCCAGAGCCAGTAATGGTGAACCCACTGGGGCTGGCTGGGAGAGAGGATGAGAATTTGTTCCCTAAGGAACTGTCTGAGGTACGACAGATACTTGTGGATAGCGTTAGCTTTTCTTGGGGTCGGGGGGCGGCTATCCAGTAACCATGGTTATGAATAGCTTCAGCTGTGTTAGATATTTTATTGATTTACATGATCTCGTTTAGGAGCAGCTGGATCCTGTGCACTACTGGAAAGCCTCCAAGGTTAAAAAAGGTTAGTCGATTAATTCCAGGCTTGTGCCTCCCAGTAGTCAGTTTCTGTGATGAATCAAACTAGCTCACTATGATTTACATAATGAAAACATATGAACACCTGAGAAACTGGAGAAGCCAGTAGTGGAGGAGGAGGAGGTACCTCGTTAAGGAGTTTTTATTAATCCCAGCTTTGTCTTTCCCTAGGCACTGTTACCAGTAATCTGCTTATCTACTCAAAGGTGAGTGGTTTCCATGTGTGTTGGTGCAAACAGCATGGTGGGTAGAAAAATGCCCTTTTTGGCCTATATACATGATGACTTACATGGAATCTCGTTCGGCTGACAACTTGCTGTTGAGACTCGGAAATCTGATTTTCTAGGACCTGGCTGAGGTGGGAACAGCTTCCAGTGCAGGAAGTTGCACATTGCCAAACTCAGTCTTGTTTGTTTCAGGTGCAGCAACTCCTTGGAGCCGAAGAATGATTTGAGGTAAATTTCTCTGCAACGCTTACAGTCTATGGCCGACATATAAAATTTGTCGTGGTTGTGTGTGTTGCGCTTTTTGGGTCACTCACCAGTGATGAGTTTAATACCGCCCCAGTCTGATCATTGTGACTGAAAGGTATTTCTGAGCTGTGAGCTTGCCTTGGAGTGGAAGTTGACAATGGGAAGGTAATCGAGTAGGCTGTTCAGCCAATAGGAAATTTTTTAGAGAACTTCCTAGTTCCTGAAAAACGTGTGCATTGAAACCTAACGTATCCTATACAGGTGTGTCTTCCCCCCAAACGGGTTCCCAGGGCTGGTTGAGAGACTTAATTTCCATTCTTTTGCAGGGAATGTGTAAGCCATATCTCTGCTCAACTTCATGCTGAAGTTAGAGGTGAGTAAATTCAGATGAAAGGTGTGGGCCGAGCTGAAATTTCCCAGTGATGAAACATTCACATGTCTTACCTCCTGTTCTAGTCCCAGAGCCTGTAAAGGTGAACCCACTGGGGCTGGCTGGGGGAGAAGAGGAAAGTTTGTTCCAGAAGGAACTGTCTGAGGGGTCATAAGGATTTCTAAACATGGGAAAGGGAAGAATAAGTCACTTACTGAAAATTTGTTCTTTTTTTCCAGGTCTAAAAGAACAAATGTATATAATGGTAGGTATCTGCTTGTGTATTGGTGTTAAAGTGCTGACGTAATAAACAGAAAGCTCCTAGGGTTGTAAATTGGTTTAAAGGTTAGCTCCTTGTAAACACTCAGTGCATGTTCTTGCCCATCCAGTAAGAAAACTCACTTTTCTTTTTCTCTGTAGGATGCCAACACTTCCAAAACATCAAAAAAACGAATTTTCAAGGAATTTCTTGTATACTCTGGCTGTTCAAATTTACACATAATCATCTCGGTCTTTATAAATAAAAGATTTAAACTTTATTGTGATTGGTGTGTTTGGTGGGTCTGTTTGTTTACCTAAACTGGGTTCAGTTTTTAGGGTGTCTAGTCGGGGTGCTCAGGTGAACGCTTGTTCAGCGATTGAGCATTGAATATCCATCTTGATCTCCATGAACGGAGCAAATGCAAATGGCTACTTGAGAAATTAGTCTTATCCCAATGGGTTGCTTGTCCTCACATATAACTGATGCTTTCAAATATTTTCTCACTTATTCTTTTTAATGGGAAGGGAAGGAGAGAAACATTGATCAGGTACCCCTTGCCTGTGCCCTGACCAGAAATGAAACCAGTGACCTTTCACTTTGCAGGACAATGCCAAACCAGCTGAGCTACATCGGTTGTTGGGAGTGTGTCTCTGATTTGGCCCTGGGCAAGCTGGGTTTGGGGATGAAGTGAGGGCAGAGGCACACAGCATGGGGAGGGTTGTGTGGGTGTGTGTGTACGGGTTAGGTCAGTGATTGGTTAACATGCACATGGGCCCCCACTCTACCTGACACTTCTGACAGTTGTCAGATAAGGACCATCCTTACATTTCCCAATCCTTGACAGTGTGGATACCAAATTATGAATTCAGGGCCTCGGTAAGTTCTAGGGTACAGTCCTCCCTCTACCCTGGGTTATTAGTTCCAGGCTCCACATGGATATCAAAGTCTAAGGATCAATATTTGGTCTAAAGTGCACTTGCCACCCTTGCTGGTGTGGCGAAATGGACTGAGTGCCAGGCTGTGAACTGAAAGGTCACCAGTTTGATTCCTAGTCAGGGCACATTCCTGGGTTTCATGCCCTGGTTGCCGTGGGAGAGGCAGCCAAGCAATGTATCTCTTGCGCATTGATGTTTCTCTTCCTTGCCCTCTAAAAATAAAGTAATTGCATGTGACCTAGGCACAACCTGCTTCAAATCACCTCTGGAAAATGCTATGTAAGTAGTTGTACTACATTGTTTAGGGACTGACGTTCTGTGTTCAGTGCAGATGCAACTGCCATAGATGTTACGTGTGGTACGTGCAAGCAGCGATGAAGCCTTTTTAAAAATAGCTTCCATCTGGGGTTTAGTCTGCTGTACCCAGAGAAGCACACTGAGGACCAATGAAAAGGAGCTAGGACCGCTGGAACCCCTTCCCCATGAATTCATGGCACAAGTGTAAAATAAAGACCTGTACTGGTTTAAAAAAAAAAAAAAACCTCCATCTGCAGTTGGTTTAGTCTGTATGTGGAACCCACAGATACAGAAGTCCAACTATGCATTTCATGTCAGTATAAGAAGGCAACTTAAAATACTGGTTTTGTCCATTAAGTGGTAGCCCCACAGATTTGGGAGTTGTCAACTAATATAGCCATGGGAGTGGGAGGGCTGGTCCTGGAAGTGGACCTAATGAGAAAGGCCCCTGTCAGGATAGGGTTTGTGGGATGGGGGACAGCAGAGGAGAATGGCCCTGCAGGCAGGGGGAGGGCCCACAGAGCACTGGTCTGGTAACCAGGGGGGAGCACTCACACGCACACATGACTGATGCTGTGTCAAAGCTACAAAGAGATCAGAATGGACTGGAAATGACCAAAAGCAGCTGTGCTGAGTTTTAGCTACACACCAGCCACTGTGTGCATTACCTCATCTCGTCCTCTCCCCAGCCGGGGAAGACAGGTGCCAGAAATGTCCTTGGATAAGAGGAAGAAATGGAGGCAAGCAACAGATTAATTGCCCATCATCACAGAATAGGAGAGGAGGGGGTCAGCTGTCAGCCCCTGGGGATATAACCATCAGACCAGGCTATTAGCTCTGGGAGTCTGGAGACTACTGTTAACCCAAATGTGGGAAACGCAGCAAGGAGGTGATGCAACCAAAGCTAGACAGATCTGATTTTCTTTATCATTGTGGAGTACCTCCTCAATAAGTATAAAGAAATGGACAAAGGGCCTCCCAGGGAGCACATGTATTTCCAAGTTCTTGTGAAGCCCTCACTATCAGCCTCCTAGACCCATGCAGGACAAGGCAAGCAGGGAGCAGTAGGAGGAGAGTGAAGGAGCCACTCCTCACTTGCCTTGGCTTCAGAGGCGGAACAGGGCTACTGCTGAATGTGAACACCCAGCCGAAGATCTGCCCACTTGGAGATCTGTGCTCGGCCGATCATGCTCGCTGTGCCCTGGCCAGGACTGGAACCTGCTCTGCCCAGGGCTATAGCTTGCCCCAGGTTAGGTCTTGCAGAATTTGGAGAAGGATGAGATTGAAAGAAACTGAATTTTGTTTTTGCCCTTGTATTAGTTTTTTTATTGCTGTTGTAACAAATACTGTAAACTCGGTAGCTTAAAACAAATGGAAGTCAGAAATCCAAAATGGATCTCAATGGGCTAAAATCAAGCTGTGTCAGCAGGGCCTAGGCTCCAAGAGCAATTCATTTCCTAGGATTTTCCAGCTTCTAGAGGCCACCAGGCATGACCCTCTGCCATCTTCAGTTAGCAATGGCTCATCAAATCTTTCTTAATGCTGCATCACTCTGATACTGAGCCTGATGCCTCCTATTCCTGAGGGCCTTGTGATGATACCGGTGGGCCCACCAGATAATCCAGGATAATCTTTCTCAAAAGCCTTAATCATGTAAATTAACACATTCTGAGGTTGTAAGAATTCTTGTGGGGGGGGTTGGGGGGGCATCATTATGCAGACCACACTCTTAATTTAGCCCCTCCCTGGAGGCTCTGGGCTTTACTACTTCTGGATTATCAGAAACCTTGGTAGTTGAAATTATATTAGTGAAAATGGAATTTTTTAAGATTTTATTTACTTATTTTTAGAGAGGGAAGGGAGGGGGAGAGAGAGAGAGAGGGAGGGAGGGAGAGAGGGAGAGAGAAACATCAATTTAATATGGGGGCCATGGCTTGCACCCAGGCATGTACCCTGACTGGGAATTGAACCTGCGATGCTTTGGTTTGTAGTCTGCGCTCAATCTGCTGAGGTATGCCAGCCAGGGCTGGATTGAGTCTGTTGCCTGAAGGTTCTCAGCCGTGCCTGTACCTTTGATACAGAACCCAGGCCTCTACTTCCAGCCCAGCAGCAGCACTTCAGTTCAGGAGGTTTCCGACAGAACATGCCACATTTATATGAATATAGTTTCCAAGGAAACGGGACCTCAAGTCCTTTCTCAGGGACCTGATATATAATCCCTTTCATACAGCCGTGCTTTGCTTTGAGCCTATAGAAATTCCCACTCAGATTGGACCTACCCTGGCCTCACCCCCCTCTCCCACTGCTGGATCCTGATTTAAGAATCAGGAACCTCTGAAATGTCTTTCTCAGTGCAGGGTTTCCCCTCTGTTGAAGGGTGCACGGCAAGATATAAGGGGTGGGGGCGGATGTGACAAGTCAGCGGGGGAAGCACAGCAAAGAGCCCATGCCAGCAGCATTCAGTCCTAAAGGCCAACCTTCAATGTGTGTCCTCACTGCTCATAAACACCCACTACGCGCGTCATGATTTCCCCACTTAGGAGAGAGCAGCCTACAGAACCTAAAACAGGAACTGGCAAGTGTTGTATTCAAGTTGCGAGTGAAAGAAATCTCCGAACACTGAGATCAGCTTGATGTCTAATTTATTGGCCAAGTTTTACCTGCGCAGGGGCGAGCTTCCCAAATGAGACCGTAGTCTCGCGGCTATGCAGCGCCGCCGAAATGGAAGTCGCGCCTGGCTTACAGACTATTGGGGTTTTATAGAAGCTAGCAAGCAAGCACGGGTTACAGAAGCAGATATGGCTGTTAGCCATTGGCTTATTCACACAAAACAGGAGTTTCTGATTGGTAGAGGTAGTTGTTGGCGGGCAGATCTTGGCGGGTAGTTTCTAGGGCCAAAAATAACTTTCTCAGCTAGGAGCGGTTAGTTGTTTATCTAATCTTTGCCCACCACATTCTGTCCTCCACTCGCCCTAAGCTTAAGCAAGCATCCTGTTATGCAGCTCTGTACTTCTCCATTTTCCTTGTTCCCCTTAACCTCCCTTGTACCACGGTTGTCCAGACATTTTGGTGGCCCCTACATTCCCTCCTTCTCTTCTATATTAGTCAAACCTTTGACTCACGTTCTTCTTGTGGAAGGATTGTATAGGGCTGAGACAAAACCATGAGTTTTACTGTCTCAACTCTGTCTTTAATAAAGGCTAGGAGCTTATTCAGAATTATTGGTCCTATAGTCAGAGCCAATAGAAGGAGAATTAGAGGTCCAGCTAAGGCGGATATCAGTGTGGTCAGCCAGGGTGAGGTCTTATATAGAGAAGAATACCAGGCGGATGACTCACTTTCTTGCTCTCTGTCTTTGAGCCGCTTGGTGAGCACTCTTATGCTTTCTCTAATTATTCCTGAGTGGTTGGCATAGAAACAACAATCTTCTCCTAGAGCTGCACATACTCCTCCTTGTTGTAGGAAAACTAGGTCTAGCCCCCTTCGATTCTGGAGTGCTACTTCTGCCAGGGAGTCTACCTGACGTTCTAAGTACTCTACTTGCTCTTGGAGCAAGGTGAGGTCTTTAGAGAAAGTTTGGGACAGTGCTCTAAGATTATTTTCTCCATGGATTAATGCTCCTGTCCCTACTGCAGCTGACCCCAGGACACTGATGGTGGCGACGATGGGAATTAGCAATGGGACTCGCTTGACCCGGGAGGGGGCTTGTATCAGAAACTCTGGGTTTCCTCCATATAGGTATACTTGGGGAATGATGTAAGCACTAACACAAAGCTCAGGGTTAATAGGTATTAGGCATTTAAAGATACCTTGAGTGCAGACAAACCAGAATCCTTCTGGAGCTACTGTGACAGTCAAATTGCTAGGATTTCCCGGCAGATGCACCTGGTTGAGGCAATAATCGCTGTAGTTCGAGCCCAGGGTATAGTTCGCTAGCAAATAACAAGTGCCTTGCCCATGGAACTCAGCTAATGTAAGGGTACTTTCAGATTCACACTGTTGCAAGCCGTTTACCGGGCCACCCGTGGGAAGGGGTTGTGCTTTGGGTATG